TATATATTTTTATAACAATTTTAATAACTACCAACATTTATTCACAACGTAAAATAAAATAACAAATTATTGAGTCTACCCCACGTCTACCCTACATCATAGTTTTACATTTTTTAAATAAAATTAGAACGGCACTGATAAACCGGAATTTAAGTCGGCCATATTTGAGGCCCATCGCGGTGTACCTAAGATTTTTGATATGCTGCTTCCTTAGTCTTCTTATTCAAAGTAATGAACCAACCTTGTTCCATTTGAAAAAATTGAGATATGATTAAAAATGCGATTTGGGCATCTTTTAGGCGGCCAGAACAAGATACGAAAAACGTTAGACTATCAAATCTATTTTTCCAAGGCTCCTTTATTAAAAATTAGTGTTTTTGACATAGCCATGGCACTCTGGATTGAAATTTAAAATACGATTTTTTTTACGCGAAAATATAAAAAGTTGACATATGGTATGCCATTCTACTCAGAGTGTCATTTTCGATCAAATAAAATAAAAATATACCGAGGGTGCCATTTAAAAATCGAAAGTTGTAGTCATTTCCGGTGAAACAGGAAGCGATCACAAACAACTGAATACGTCAATCAATCCTAATTTATGTCATGTACTAACATACCAAATCTAGTTTTCTTACTTGAAAAAATAAAAAAGTTATAGACTACTTTTGAGACGCACCCATTTCTAATGCCCTGTATATATTTTTTGTAGATAATGTCTTTTAAATTACAAAGTATGTTGATTTTAATATCAATCAAACTAGCAACAATAACGTACAGACATTTTATTACAATACGACTGTGATAGCTAGAATTTAGTGTGTAGGAAAAAGTCATCAAATATCTAAAAAAACAACAAGAAAAGTTGGTTCCGATCAAAATAATATTAACCAATTATTTTTATAAATACCGAAAAAGTCCATTATTGAACGACAAACAAGATATTTTTGAAATTATAAGAACAAAAATGTACATATTTAATAAACAATACGTATATATACAGGGTAATCCGGTGTTCGATAAAAAACTTCGTATCAGTTTCCATATTTGGAATTTATTTACTCCAACATATTTTTTCCACTAAAAACAAGATTAGAAAAATACAAAAACTATATAAAAACTTCTAGTTTTGACTCCCCCTGTAAATACGATTATATAATAATATAATATATATTTTTTGAAACGTCACAAAAGTATTATTTTTTGCGACGTGATTGACAATATAAAAAGTCATTTTAACGTCTATGCATAAAATTAAAGCACTTTTACGTCTAAGCATAAAAGTACGAAATTATATTATTAAACTGACATAAAGTGTCAAATTCAACGAGCGTAACCATAGTTTCTCGATATATAACTACATACAAGGTATTACTTTTACTCTTTTTATATTATTTGGAACGTTTGAAATTACTTAAAAAATTATTTGTGGCGTTTGAAAAAAAATAGCATGTTCTATTCGGAGTAAAAATGACTTTTTGCGGCTCGCCTGTATGTTAAACGTACAGTCTCGCCAAGAAAAGTATCATTTTTACTCCTAATAAAAAAGTATACCGTATGATCGAAAAAAAATCGGCTTCAGCGATGGCTATGAAATAAAGATCACAAAACATCCCCCTTTAGAACTTCGTCTGCCATGTTAAGAAATGAAAGTAAATAATAAAGCGCCTCTCGTGTTTGTTCGCACTCAAAAAATTTCAATTAATGCCTGTATATATTTTTAATATATTTCTTAAATTTACATTTTTTTAATTGTTAAGTAATATATTACATTTAAATGGAATATATTACATAACAATTATGTCAATTACAGGATTACAAGCTTGTTTTCTAACATTTTTTAAATAAAACGAATTATAAAATTTCAATATATATTTGTCGTAGGTATGAAAAAAGTAAAATATAAAATGGACAAACGCTTACTTACATTGCAATAAAACTTCCACTTTTAGTTTTGCAATCCAAACGCAATATTTCTATTTCACAAATAAAAATATCCGACAACACTAAAATCACTGAAACTTCCGCGGCTGACAACGAAAACTGAAAAATATAACGGCGGTTTTTGTTTTGGACCTGCATATCAACATTATGCTGTAATATTATGTGTTTGTTGTTGAAATAATATAAAATATCTAATTATAACTTGTAAATTTTAATATTTTAACATGATTTTAACTACTTTTGACAGTAACCAACTTTTTGTTATCAAGATGACATTTTAGACGGCAACTGACATATATGTCATAATATTTGAATCTTAAATATGTATGTAATATAATTTAAATTACTATAATGCAACTTTATACTAAGAAAACATTTATACATTTACAAAATACAACAAAGTCTAATAATATAGTCTGAAAACAATGAATATTGAATTAAAATTGAAAAAGTTAAGCGCGACCCCTTGTGTCAAAATTAGATGATTAAATTTTTGCAATTTTTGATGACCATTTGATGACCGGTGGCGCCTCTAGTGTTTGTTCGGGCGGTCTTTTACTCCTGCTTATGGCCATTAAAGAAAAAGTTCTAAAGGGGGATGTTTTGTGATAAAGATCGCTGTCATTTTATATGTAAATGTATATGGGAAATATCATCGATCGTCATTTCCCAGCCAATTGGACGCCGTTTTTTTTTCGATCATACGGTACTATTTGCTTTGTATTTTCGTCCTTTTATGCTTAGGCGTAAAAGTGCTTCACTTTTATGCCTAGGCGTTAAAATGATTTTTTTATATTGTCAATTACGTCCAAAGATATTTAAACTCGGTTTGGTTTAAATATCTTTGATTACGTCGCAAAAATTTATACTTTTGTAACGTTTACGTTTTGTAGCGTTGCGTTGTAAAAAATTGAAAAGGGCACTACTATAAAATATTTCCAAATAAATTCAAATTCTCATATTTCAACAAACTACTTACTGTATCTTATAGACCTAGAAATTATATGGAATGGAAATTTTATAGCTTATTCGCGAAGCAAAAGGCGTATATACAGGGTGGCCCATAAGTGCGTGGAAGTCCAATATCGTCATTATTGACAAAGATATGAAGAAAAGTTTAATATACCTAATTAGTGTTACATGGCTTATCCAAACGAGACATATGTAGTTCAAAAAAAAAGTAATGATAAAATTGTAAGATTTTCAAACTACAACCCCCAATGTTCTGTATAAAAAATAGAGATATAGCATTTTAAATATTCCGATTTTGGTAACGCCATAAAAAGTATCCTGTATAGGATAATCTATCTTTTTCTTCGGGGATTTATTGATTTATTCTGTTATCATTGGTATTTAGGAAAATATAACTTAAGTTTTATTCACTACAATTTTTAACCACTCTTCGGATATACTGATTTTTAACTAATGTTTTAGTAAATAAGAAATATAATGGCAACACCGCACAGTGCTTCAAAGAATATTAGCGTACTATATTATGCAGAATTTTATACTGAATCCAATTATACAGGGTGGCGCACCTCATTCGTCTCGGTTGTTTATACGAAAACGGAAAGACAGGGGTATCAAAAATTGCTGGTCTATTTTAACTATTTATTTTACATAAAAACTTCGTTATTTCAAATACAACACTATGTATTTTTTTAAATAATTCGAAGCAGATTTAAGTATTCTTTTAAACTATATTAGGGTTTCTTACTACTATACTTACTTATTAACCTTATTGTAAGTAAATTTAATAAATATAACCTGTTATAAATTTAAATAAAGTCCATAACTAATGTCTATTTTGAAAATAGCTACTAAGTGTCACTAGAAAATTGCCATGGCGACACCAGCCATCTTGGTTACAATTTTATTGAAAAATCGCTTTTTATTCAAAATCTGAGCCAGATAGGTATAGAAAACCCTAATATAGTTTGAAAGAGAAATTTTGAAAATTTTAAATCTGCTTCGATTTATTTAAAAAAATACATAGTGTTGCATTTAAAATAACGAAGTTTTTATGTAAAATAAATATTTAAAATAGACCAGCAATTTTTGATACCCCTGTATACAATTAAGAAAGCAATAAAAAAATTTAGTAAAGTTTATTTCTCTGGCTTGAAAGTCAGCACAAGAATTAATTCTGAAAAGTAATGTTCAAAGTTGACAAACTTTTTTATTATAGCATGCATATTTAAATATCTTTAAATATCTCAAAAACCAAAGCTTTTAAACATAATGCCTTATTTTATGTCCAAGAATTCAAAAATGAAATAAAATACCGGGTGTTCCATAAGAAAAAATATAACTTTGGTATGGATCTTAGTTTTGACACACCCTGTACATTTCAAAATAATTTTAAATTATGCACATTTCCTTCCCACATATACCCTTAAAATATTTTGTTTCTACATCTTTCTGTTTTCGTATAATCAACCGAGGCGAATGAGGTGCGCCACCCTGTATACAGAAAAATAGGGGGTGCAATTAAAAAAAAACTTAAAACTCTATCATAACTTTTTGAGACACCCTGTATACAACAAAATATTTTTAGAATATGCTCTATTATAAACCATGCAACATAACATCTGTATAATTTTTTTCATATCTTCGACAACATCGACGAGTTCATATGGAGTTCCTCGCAATAATGGGCCATCCTGTATATTAAAGGCCCTGTTTATATCTACAAAAAAAAAATTTAAAATATGCGCCTAGCATTGCCTGCATATCTTATAAAAATAACTGAAGTAAATATCTCAAAAAATTAAAGAATATGGAGTTTCCAGGAACATTGTGTCACCCTGTATATTATAGATTTAGGTCTTGAAAAAGTCTTAAGCTTCCTTATTCTAAAAAAAAATAGTAACAAGTATACATTGACTCAGTAGGATACTTTATTCATTAAAAAATATCTTTGCTGAAATGTCTTGTTCTAAAAAAAAGGGTACCAATAGGTTTTAGTAGGAATTTAGACTAATATAGTTCTATCCCGTTATATGGAACGTTCGCAAGGAAAAAAAACAAGAAAAATTTAATAAAACAATAAATAATCTGTATATTGGCTGTATTTATTTACAAAAATAGTATTTAATTTCAACTCCTAATTATTCTTAACCAGCTAAAGGATTGGCATGTATCGTTACACTGTTTATTCTTGTTTCATTCAAAGGTTTGTAGTTTTTGGAATTTACAGGAAGTTTTTCTAATTCGTCTAATGTTTCTAAACCATCTATAACCCTAAAATCACCGACAATTAACAAAAAGCACAATTAACAATACACAAAAAGTAAGACTCACCTTCCAAATATAGTGTATTTTAAATCTAAATGTGGCTGAGGAGCATAAGTTATAAAAAACTGGCTTCCATTCGTATTTGGCCCGTTATTTGCCATCGAAACAATACCTCTAACATTATGCTTAAATCAAATAATTCAGACTTTAAAATGGACGACGCTTCATAAAACAAATAAAATAGAAGATACCTTTAGTTGTTCTTTAAACTCGTCTTCGAACTTATCTCCCCAAATTGATGTTCCCCCTTTACCTGTTCCTGTAGGATCTCCTACCTGTACTATAAACCCTTTGATGTTTCTGTGAAACAATGTTCCATTGTAATAATCGCTGGCACATAAGGCCAGAAAATTCTCGCAGGCTTTTGGGCAGCTTTCGCAAAACAACTCTATTTTGATTTTGCCGACGTCTGTATGCAGCGTAACAGACTGGAAAAAATATATTTAGAAATTAACTCTAATAGAGTACATAAATCCATTATTTACCATTTTCAAATTTACCCTGATTTAGCTCCCTGTTTAGCTTTATTTTATGTATAAATAAATCGCTTTACCCGTTTATCTTTTTAAAAATCAAAGTAAAAACCATAAATTAAAAACAAAATCAAATAATAAAGGTTAGAAAAACATTACCGATACATTTGAACTATTTTTAGTTTTGTTGAAGTAGTTCTAATGTTCTAATATCTAAATTTCTCTGTGGTGTTGTTAGGAATGGGTATGTAACTGGTATGTAACAAATTAATAATTTGTTACGTAATTTTTTAATGTAACAAATTAAATAATATTATTTATTTATTGTGTAACATTTTAATATTTTTGCTGAAATCAATATTTACGCCAAAATATATTTATTTTTGTAATTGACATGGTCTATAAATATTACCCTTTATACCAATGACATTAAATTGAAGATTCCTTTATTACTTTATGTATATATTATTACATATATTATTATAACTGACAAGAAAAATCCTTCTGTTTGTTTGAGATAAATCCTTCTGTTGAGTTGAAGATAATTATTGTGGAACAGAACTAAATACAGTAATTAAAGTAAGAGATTAATGATGTGTAACAGAACTAAAACGATAAGCAAGCCAGACATATACGAAAATTGACACTTTTTAAAACCTATATTTTAATATTTAAGTACTTTTTTCGATTATCTATTTTTGTATTTTCATTTTAAATATATTTCAAGCACCGTTTTACTCACCCCTGATATCAACTAACACTTATATGAGTGTAAAATAGTCGAATAAAGTTATTGCAGTAAGTTTAAAAATAATAATTTTATATAGTCCTGACCTGTCGCCTTAAAACTAACGTAGAATTCCCATCCCTACTGTTATCCAGTCATTCCACTCTTTTGCTCTGTGGCTCCCATCTTCCTCTTGTCAAATTTGAAGTTTTCCGAAAATGCCATTTGTCACGCAGTCGTCGTCGTAGTTACTACAGCTGATAGAATTTGATAGAAGTCGAGTTTTCGTTCAAGTCGTATTTAAAAAATGCCCTTAAATGTCGAATTTTAAAAGTGAACGTTTTATAAGTTAACATCTTTGTGTGAATATTGTGTTTCATTAGATAGCACGTTATCTATTAGCTACGTGTAATATTCAGTAATTGTTATGTGGTAGAAGTGGATAAATTGTGCATCCATCTGGTTCATATATATTTATGAAACAAGGAGAATTCTTACATATAAAGTAGGTCGCTAATATTCAAATATGAGTGAATCGGAAAAGCGATTAATAAACGCCATCAAACACTATCAAGATAGTCTAGACAGACATGCAAATAGTGGAACTTCTGAGAAGGTACTTAGCTCTATTTCCTGTTATAATACCTAGCTATAAATTATGATAAATTGTTTTAGTTGCTGCATGCGATTGATAAACTATCGAGATTACCAATAAAAGTGTGCCATTTGGAAGAGACAGGCGTTGGAAGGACAGTGAATGCCCTCAAAAAAGTTGGAGGTATAATATAGTTTAATTTTCAATAAATTATGGAGATAAAAAACTTCATAATTTTAGGCACCGTTGGTGAAAATGCAAGAATATTGGTTGATAAATGGAAATCAATGGTAAAGGGTGAAGAAGAGGCAGAACAAGAGTTAGAAAAAGAGAATGAAGCAGACAATGATGAAGCAGAATCCCCTGATGATGAAGGTTAGATATTCATTAATTTAACAGTTTTTAATGATTTTTATTACAAAATGTATGTTTGTAGATGCAGGGGAAAGTTTACAAATATGTGAGAACGAGACAGGTAGTGATTTAGAAAAAGAAGCTGAAAAAAGTGAGGAAGATACTGACAAACATCAAAGAACACCATCAAAGAAAGATAGTAAATATAAAGAGAAGGAAAGCAAAAGTAAAGAGAGACATAAGAATCAATCAAAAAGGTCTCATTCAAGCGATGATAGTTCTTCATCTGATGAAGAGACAAAACACAAATCCAAAAGTCATAAGTCTCATCATAAATCATCCAAATCTAGTCGCAAAAGTAGTTCCAGTGATAGTAATAGTGAGTCTGACAGTGATGAATCAAATAGTGATAGGAAATCGGCTTCCAGAAAAAGCAGATCTAGAAAAAGTTCCTCCTCCTCCGAGTCCAGTGAAAGTGAAAGTTCTGAAGAGGACTCGTCTGTCGAAAGAAAATCTAAAAAGTCTTCATCGCATCATCACAGTGATAAAAAACATATGAAAAGGCATAATTCTTCTGATTCAGAGGATAGTGATACTAAACATAAAAGTAAGAGTTCCAAAGAAAAGAGGGAAAAAAGTAGTGAGTCCAAAAACAATAAACATAAAAGTGAGTCCACGTCAAAAGACAGAAAAACACCAAAAGTTAAAGAGAGTGATAATGAAATTAAGAAATCTAGCAAATCTGAAGACAGAACTAAGACTAAAGATGATAAATCCAAAAGGGATAATCACGATAAAAAGGAGAGTTCTAGATCTAGTAGTAGTAAATCAACAAGCAGTGAAAAAGAAAAATCTAAAGCTAAAAATGATGTTGAGAATGAACGGCACAAATCAAAAGTAAGTGAAACTAGTGAATCAAAGAAAAGTAGCTCAAAATCTGACAAAAATCATAAAAGTGAGAAAAAAAGAGAAAGAGAATCGTCTACAGAACGCTCTCCTTCGAAGAGAGCCAAAGAATCTAAAGACAGTTCTTCAGAACGTAGCAAGAGCAAAGACAAAAAAGAAAAGGATAATGCAGATAACAAGAAGGATAAAAATGTCAAGAAAGAAAGTGGTGGTAGTACTAGTAATAATAAAAATAATAAACTGAAACCCCAGCAAAAATCAGCAGTAAAGTCGATAAACGGTATTGATTCTGAATCTGGCGCTAGCTTTGCAGATGTTTTGGGAATGTTAGAGCCCAGTATGTATAAGTCTAAGAAGAAATCGAATGATACTCTAGTGGTTCAGGAGAAAGTGAAGACCAAAGAAGATAAAAGCCAAAAATTGGAGAAGCAGAACAAGTCTAGTACAAGTAGTAGTAGTAGTAGTAGTTCTGTGCCAATACCAGAGGTAAGTTTTTTTTTTATTTTAAAACATTCATAATCACAAAATTGTCAGTCAAAAGTTCTTTGCAATGCATTTAACAAGCACTACATTATTTACAACTGAGCAGATTTCTTATTTTGGATTATTCCATCTTTGTGATAATATTAAATTGTTTCTAGGAATTGAGCTTACTGAAGGAACCCAATTTGGAACCCTTGGATATTAATATTTCCAGTCTACTACCATCTATCACACCGAATAATTATAGACCTGTGAGTTTCCCAATTGATACTCAACCTAAGAAATTTTTGTCACAAGATGAGGCTTTAAATCATGTTATTTCAGCAAAGCACCAGCGGTAAGTACAATTCAAAATTTAGATTTGTTTTATTTTTTTTTATCTGTTATTTATTTGTTTTATTTTCATGATCCAGATCGCCATACCTATCATATACCTACCTACCTTTGTTAATATATTTAATTTTTTAAGTCATTACATTTGATTTTTTGTGCAACTTGAAGGTGCGTCCATACCGGCTGCGCCCCTCCGCGCCGCGCCTCGCAAATCATTTTTTTACATATACTTTAATTAAGTAACATATATACTTTTGTGCGCGCTAAAAAAAATACACTCCAAGAGTACATGTTAAAAAAATGTTTTGCGCGCAGAGCGGCGCAGCGTGGTGTGAACGCGCCTTAACAAACCTCGAAACAAATGAGATAATGGTCTTATCAATGACTCACCCTGTACAGGGTGGGTCAAATTCGACGCTTTTAAATGGAAACACCCTTTTCTATAGGAGATAGACAAAAACTAATATCGGTGTCTGGAGCTCAATTTTTGTCAAAAAAATGATGGTGAAAGCCGCATATCAATATCTGTTACCGTTTCGGAGTTACGGGGTATTTTTCAAAAATATGCATTTTTAATAAATCGCTATGGAAAATTTTGTATTTTTATGAAAACATTTCCAAAGTACCTTTTTACGTAGAATTTAATGGTTTAAGTATAATTTTTTTAAAATTAATAATTTAAGAATTATCAACAGAAAATTTGATTTTTTATATGGGACCCTGTATATTTTTAGTTTATTGAAAAGAATTTAAAATTACCTTTCCAAAAATAAAACGAAAAAATATTTATTTCAAACAAGTTGACAATAATTCGAAAATATCAAACAAAATATCAAAATATAACACACTTGATATTTTGCTCGATTCCTCTTCGAGATAGAGTATATAAAAATTTACCTGCTTTAAATGACTAGGCTTTGAACGGCACCGGCTATAATGCAAAAAATTCAAGCTGTGAGCATCAATTAAAACGAAAATAATATGTGTTATAAGAGAAGCAGAATTTTATAACAATTTGAAATATATTTAACCAACATCAACACATTTAAACTATATCTAATAACAATAAAAATAAATAGCAAACCAAGACATGAGATTTTGCTACAGGTGTTCGACATATCGACCGTCTTCTGTTATGGACAGACGGGGCAGTTTTTGAATATTTCTCGCGGAATTCATTAACTCAGTAGAGGTGAAAGATAGCCTCTCATAACTGCTAAGTATTTCTAATTCTTGTCTAGATTATACGGAAGAATAAGGAACCTTTATTCTTCCGCAAATATATCCATAAGATTAGATCCATGGGCACTAAGTCAGGCGGCCTCGACGGCCAACGGCTGGGATCTTGGTTGGCTATTCAATTATTCCTGAAATTGACTGCAAAAATTTGCTGATAACTTCAGCGTTCAGAGGCGGTGCGTCGCGTCGTCTTGCTGGAAAAATATGTTTTCGAGTTCCATTAAGGGCATATCATCAATAAGGGGTCCAAAGCCTACTAGTTAAAAGTGGCGAACTTTTAAAAATTCTGTATTTCGAAGGGGATTATAACAAAATATCAAGTGTGCTATACCTTTTGGAAAGGTAATTTTAAATTCTTTACAGTTAATTAAAAATATAGAGGGTTTCCCAAATAAAAAATCAATTTTTCTGTGGATAACTCTTAAATTATTAATTTTAAAAAAATTATACTTAAACTATTAAATTCTACGTAAAAAGGTGCTTTGGAAATGTTTTCATAGAAATACAAAATTTTCCATAGCAAAAAAGTTAGAGCGATTTGTTAAAAATGCACATGTTTGAAAAACACCCCGTAACTCCGAAACGGTAAAAGATATTGATGTGCGGTTTTCACCATCATGTGTTTGATGAAAATTGAGCTCCAGACACCGATATTAGTTTTCGCCTATCTCCTATAGAAAAGGATGTTTCCATTTAAAAGCGTCGAATTTGACCCACCCTGTACATACACAGTACAATCGTGACGTCAAAATATGCACTAGACAAAACCGTGTATGTTGTGCTTTAGATCGCATAAATTCAGTTAAATAGAAAGCACTATGAATTTACAGAGTTTTGTAGTTGTTAAACTTTAATTTTGTTATTTTTTAGCACCAAAGTTTACTCAGGCAACAAGGTTGGCTGTGGAAAGGTTCCTTCACTATTTGATATGTGTACTAGAATTCTTCAGGATAACATAGATGGTAAGTATTATCGCTGATTAGGTATACTATATGTATACAGATAAAAATCTTATCCCTAATTCGTGGTACGAAAATTGTTTTTTATGACGATGAGTAAACGAGTAAAATTTCCTGTGCGCAAAAATAAACTGACGTAAAATAACAATAAACAGCGTAATAGAGAGATATCGGTAAACCGAATAGCGTACATGGACGTTAATCACGCCATGTGTTATTTCCTTTACGTGAGGCGGTATTAACTCTCTTCATTTATCGTTATCGGATCGGAAAGAATTCTGTTCGCTACTTAAACTTAACCTAACTTTGAATTTAAAACTTTGAAATTGTTTTGTTTACTAGGTATTTTAAAACTAAAGGGCTAAAGTGCTTATTTCCAGTGCTTTATTGTTCAACGTCTGCCAGTGGGTTAGGACAACAAATTCTCTTAGAAGGGCTAAGTCATCATCTGCTGTAAACCTTTTTGTAGGTTCTCTAATATTGGAAGAGGTGGCATCCATATTTTGGGCCATATTTATTTAATTAAAACTAAACCCAGCTACTTAAATATCAAATTACCTAATAAAACTAAAGTAATAATTCAAAACAATTCAAACATAACCTAAAATAAAAGATCCCGCTGGCCGGCTCCGGTTGTCAAATACCCGCACATGCCCATTTAAGCAATTTTTAAACGTTATTTAGAAATAGCGCTTGGTGTAATTGATCCGTAAATTATCCGTTAAAAATTGACTCGCACATATCGTAGTAAATACTGGATGATGCTATTTAGTTTACCGATATCTCTCTACTGTCAAAATAAGGTATGCGTAAATACTGCATGACGCTATTCGGTTTTCCGATATCTCTCTAATAACTGGTCCGGTCAGGCGCTGTGCATAATTTTAGAGACCATAAGTGGGCGTGCTATGTGCGCAAACTAGTAACTTAACTAGTGCCCGATTCCGAAAATTGGAACCACGAAAAACAATTAAGAAAAAACAAAGTTTATAATCTGTATAATCTGTGGTATTATACACTATTCTGAATATTTCCTGAATGTAACTAAATTATTAAATGAACAGTTTGCTAAATTTATATTTTTTTTTAGCTTTGGAATATACAGGAGGTGTCCCTTATTCCATCCTGAAACCAATTCTGGAAAAAGGAACTCCAGATCAGCTCTTCCAACTGGAGTTTCACAATCCTTATTTGATAGAAGATAGCGATGAGTTATGGTTGCTTCACTGTCAAAAGGTAAGGAATACAGTGGACCAAAATATATGTATTGAATTAGGTTTTGAGCCTATCTTCCGTAATTAAAATGTCACGTCAGGCACACTTATAGCTTATTTGTAATATAACTGATGTCAACTGGAAATCAGCGGCATACTAGACATTATACAGTATGTCCGCGGATTGTCTTTACAAGAGGAAAAACTTTTTTATTATTGACATTTTGAGAAAAATGCATTCTTCATAAAAAAAAATTTGCTTGTTCTAAAATTGTTATTAATAAATAATAATCTTTTAAAATTAAAAAAAAAACATGAAAATACAGTTTAATGAAAAAAATAGCAGGAAGGAGATTAGAAAAGAATAGAATGGAATTGGAATTATAGAAGCGCCTTTTGATTTTTAGGACTTATTTTTTTTAATTTTTTTTTCTCTAAAACAGTATGGAAATTTGGAAAAATATAAACGTGATTAACCATTTTCACAAGCAAAATTTTTTATGAAGAATGCATTATTTTATGAAACATACTGTAGAGATTCACCTCGCCAAAATTATATACAGGGTGGTCCGAACTGTATTCCGGAAACTTCGGCAGCATATTCTGCAGATAAAAATAAGTAAAAAAGTTTGTATAAATGTATGTCCTTAAATGCTTAGTTTCGAAGATACAGGGTGTAGAAGTTTTTTTTTTCGATTTTTTCCAAATAATTTCTGAAGTAACGTCAATATTTTGATGAAAATTGGTGTTTGGGAGGTTTTTGACATGAGAAATTTGATTTTGATGTCAATATGACTCCTACCTGTAGAGGGCGCAACCTACATATTTTTAACTGGTTTGAAGACTAATAACTTTTCGTTCGTACCTTTATAAAACTACTGAGTAAAAAATATACATTTACGATGTCTTTTACGTAAAAAAGGTCTCTTGGTAAAAATCGCTACAAGTAATGGGTCTCCAGAAATTTGGAATCGAAATTATCAATACCTGTCATCATTGACATCAATTAAACATGTTAACTAAATAGTTATTAGACTGAAATCATAAATCTGAAATGATTTTATATCAAAAGTTTAACAGAAACTGTTTTATCATAATTTTTTCGAACGAAAATTTATGATTAATTTAAAAAAATAAAAAGTTCCGAAATTTATAATTTCAGTCAAATAACTATCTACTCAATAGGAGTTATATTGACATCAAAATCAAATTTCTCGTGTCAAAAAACTCCCAAACACCAATTTTCATCCAAATATTGACATTACTTTCATATTATTTGGAAAAAATCAAAATAAAAATGAAACTTCTACACCCTGTATCTCCGAAACTAAGCATTTTAGGACATGCATTTATACGAACTTTTTTACTTATCTGAAGAATATGCTGCCTAAATTTCCGGAATTCAGTTCGGATCGCCCTGTATATAAATTAAAAAAGTAATAGTTCATTATTTTATATTTTAAACATTATTACCATTTTTCCGGTTACGAAAGATAAAACCTAATTTAATGAATTCTCTTTAACAGGAATTTAGAAATAAAAAACGGGAAGAATTGGAATCATGGCGCGAAATGTACATGAGATGCTTGGATGAACGGGAGGCCAAACTGAAAGCTTTGACAGCTAACATTAAACAGGCGCAGGACAAGTGCATTCCTGTCAGGACGACCAAGCTAGCTTACGTAGACAGTGTGGCTAAACCACCCAGAAACATAGCTAGAAGACAGGTAAGAACAGTAATTTAAGTACCTATACAGTAATTCTTCGCTTTACTCGGTAGATATAATATATAGCGGAAATCGCATTTAACTGGGTTCCAATATGTATACATATACAGGGTGTCCCACTTAAGATGGATACAAGCCAATATCTTGATTGTTTGTTGAGCGATCTTTTTCATTTTTGGCAAGAGGCTGTATGGCTATAAGACGTACATTTTGCCCAGGGTAAGAAATGCGATACCTCATAGACGTACATTTTAATGGGGGTTTGATATTTTTCGAGTCAAGAGTAAACTACCCTTACTCTCCACTGCACATTGTCATTGGTAGATATGCCAATGCGAGAATGATTAGAATGGTCACTAACGGAATTAGTACTGGGAGAATTGTCAGATCAGGGGCCTGGAACACCCTCAAAAAGGAAATACCACTCCTGCAACTCCCAGTGGACGATATGCCAAGAACGTACAACTTTGACAAACATGTCAATGTAGTATTGAGCAATAAGAAGGATTGGAAGAGCGAAACGCTTGCCCAGCAGTTAAAAGACCATACCATAAATTGGTATACTGATGCTTCCAAAACCAATACGGGAACAGGGATCGGAGTGTTTGGGCCGAGAGCTAATTACTCCGAACCAATGGGCACTTACCCTAGTATCCTACAGGCAGAAATCTACGCTATCGAGAGATGCGTACAACTTATCTTAGATAGGAACTATCGGAAACAAGAAATAGCCATCTTATCTGATAGTCAAGCAGCGTTAAAGGCGATCAACTCAGTATCAATCAATTCGAAATTGGTCAAAGAATGCATAGAGAAGCTGAATAAATTAGGCAAAGAAAACAAAGTCCTCCTACACTGGGTGCCTGCTCACCAAGGGATAGAAGGCAATGAAAAAGCAAATAATCTAGCTAGGAAAGCAGCGAACACTCCACTAACTGAACCAGAACCGTTCTGCTTTCCAAGTGGTAACCAACTCAAGGCGGAACTCAAGAACTTGGAAGATTCCATCCGCAACCTGGAATGGAAATTTTCCAATGGTCTAAGACACTCGAAGAAGTTTCTGAGGGCTTATGATCAAGAAAAATCACAGATCTTCCTGGGTCTGAGTAAGAACAATCTTCGGATTGTCACGGGGTTTTTAACAGGACACTGTCTCCTCAATGAACACCAGTAGATTGAAACTAAGAAGAAACGGCGAATGCAGATTCTGTGGGGAAGATGGTGAAACACCAGTACACCTCATCACTGAGTGCGCCGAGACGACAACCATTCGTGCCATAAATTTTGGTACGACTGATATTGGAGATGGAGAACTACCCTCTATAAAACCGTCCCAGATACTGGCTTTTGTCAAAGCCCTGGGACTGTATGATGAGTTATGATTCAAGAAAGGGGGACACAATGGATCTGTAAGGTCGAAGTGATTAACCCCCCTCCCACTCATTCTAAATTCTCTAAAAAATTCTAAAACTACCATTAGGACAGTATTTATTTCAAATCTGATAAATTATATTGAATCCTCCTACCTAAGAAGATACTTGAGTTCTAATTTTGATAAATATTGATACAGGGTGCGTCATTAAAATAAGACATTTTTATTTTTATTATCATTTTTTAAGTACTTATGACGCCACTGGATAAACAGCAGGTTTATTGTCAATAACCAATTATAACCAATTATCAATTAATAAGCGATTTAAGTTTTCAGATAGCTTCCATAATAATTAAGACACGATACAAAAAAACTAAATATTTTCAATCTATTTTGTTTACATTAAAAAATTGTTTTTTAAGTTTGCTAATGCAAATGAATAAAATGAGTTACAAAATAATTTAAAACCCCAGTTTTCAATGGAATCTGAAATATGATTTTTATTCGTTTTATTGAGGAATATTTTAAAAAATCTAAAGAGTTTGATATTTAAAACAATCACTGTTAACTTTGAAAATATACTCTAAACAAAGATTTATAAAACTATAACGAACTAAAAGTCAACATCTTCGACCAAACCACCATAAAAAGACGATTATTAATTGATAATTGGTTAGAATTGGTTATTGATAATAAACCAGTTGTTTATCCAGTGGCGTCGTAAGTACTTAAAAAAATAATAATAAAAATAAAAATGTCTTATTTTAATGACACACCCTGTATCAATATTTATCAAAATTGGAACTTAAGTATCTTAGGTAAGGAGGATTCAATATAATTTATCAGATTTGAAATAAATACTGTCCTAAGGGTAGTTTACTCTTGACTCGAAAAATATCAAACCCCATTAGTATAGAACATACGTCCATGAACGAACGTACGTCCACCAGTATAAAACGTACGTCTATGAAGTATCGCATTTCTTACCCTGGGCAAAATGTACGTCTTATAGCCATACAGCCTCCTGCCAAAAATGAAAAAGATCGCTCAACAAACAATCAAGATATTGGCTTGTATCCATCTTAAGTGGGACACACTGTATGTATTAATCTTTATTATTATTATTATTACGTATTTTTGCAAAGGAGCTACAGTTAAGACCATAGGACATACTTCTCGTAATGGCATTTGTTATAAATAAATTTTATTAATTATTAATAATATTTATATTTATTTCAAGCAATTATATATTTTGAAATGTATTCTGTTTTTTCTGCAACATCGAAATCGCGTAAAGCGGGGAATTACTGTACCCTATTTGGTGAAAGCATATATTTAATCGCAAAACATTTTCCGATGCACGTCATCAATCATATCGACATTGACACTAAAGTCTATAAACCTGACTAAATGAAATTTTAGCAAAAATGTTTAAATTTGTTGTATAATTTAAGATACCGAGCAGCTCTTCATTTTACTTTATAGAGCAGATGATTGTAACAGATATTTTATTTAGATTAAAGCTGCAAAAATTAGTTTAAACCGAATTTTATTATCGTTATGTTGGTCACATTGCGCCGTATTAAGCAAGGTTGTCGTTTATTTGTTGACAATTATCCTAATGTCAGTCATTATTTTGTATAATATTGTGTTGTTGTTGAATCTTTGTGAGTAATTCTCGTTTTTTAACGTAAGCACAAACAACTAAATTTTCGACTTTTTGTATTGCATTTCTTGAAATCGTGTGCTGAAAATATGCCGAAGCATTTAAACAGTCGAAGCAAAGAGCTTGTAGCTTCCCTGATAAACTATTTTGAACGAGAACGTGACAATAAGGTCCTTTATTACCCTTGACTGCAGTCAGAAAAGTAAGTTTGCTTGATAAGCACATTACACCACCTTCAAAGATATTTCTAAGTTAGTTTTTATTAAATTCTGTGATTATTAGTTTGTGAATTAATAGCACCCTCTTGTTATTACCACTTATTGCATTGTAAGATGTACATCAATAAATAACCCATAATAACTCTTAGAATAATCTTCATAGTGGACTAGTTTTTGCCAATATGTAATAAGTAAAATAAGCTATAGTTGATTTATTATTAACTAATTACTAAAATATTAGTTATTGAATTAAAAATAAAACGTAAAAATCTTTAAAAAATGATATAATTAATATATTATTTGTCACTTTTAAATTAAGATTCGTCTCCAAAATCCATCACAATCTGACACCGTTGTCGCCATCGCTTGTCACTCAAAGTTGATCACATGCATCGGAAATTGTTTTGCGATTACCATACAGATTTCGACAGACTGACATCTAATATATGACAGACTTACACACTATGAATGAAATGACATACTTTACAAACAAAAACAGTTATTAATGTCATGTATTTATCAGTAAACAGATTTTTTATATAAGGAACCATTGTATGGAAAAATATGTTTTAACCCTTAAGTTATTTCTAAAATTATAATAATTGTCCTTTTAATGAGTTGTCATAACTGGCTGTTATAACATAAGTCAGACTTAGATACACAAAGAGATTCAGGGTTGCCAGTTTTTGCGCGTGGTAGATTTGGTTAAAGACCAGCGAGGTGAGAATGAAATTGAATTAAGCGATCACAGCATGTGTTATTAATTTCCACTGTAATAAAATTATAAAATAATTCTTGAAATATTAATTGTTCAACCCATAGTTGTAACATTAATCAAATGTCTACTTCTGCGGTTTAAAATTCCATTTTACCATACCTCCATCATTATTTTTCACAATAAATTAGAATTGTCCTGTGTGAGATATCTATATTACCTTTTGTTAATCTATTTGAGTATGAAAAAGGTCTATAATGCCATAAAAGAGCAATAAACTATTTGAATCTTTGAACAATATAAGTCTCTATAAATACCTTAAACTGGTTTCATTTGATCATTGAAGTTTGACAACAGGGTACTTATTTATATACGAACTACAAGTAACAGGTAATATTAATAGTTTTTACCTACACTAAAGCAATTAATAAAGGGAAAGTAGAAAGAGTTCAGAATTATCATTAACAGAACCCTATTATATTGTGTAAAGAGCATGGCGTATATTTTCGATTTTTTTTCTAGTTTATGTTTTTTAGAGGACATCGAAAGAGGTAGGAGTCTCACTCTATATTATATTTATTTTAAACAATTATTCCAAAATATGAACCAGAAGTAACCTATAGTATAACTTAAATTAAAATGTTATTTCTACTCCTACCGTGACGTAGTTTTCATTCTTACTTTAGAAATAAGTAAGACAATTTATAGACATGTTTATTGTCGTTTTATAGCTACTTAGACGAAGAAGAAGGCAAATTAAGAGAAACCTACTGTTGGCTTAAAAATTCCCTCCACAAAAACGGACAAAGCAAGCAAATGCCATTTTGATCAGAACATGTAACAACCAAGGTGTCGTTTTCATAAATAGTTTTGTATTTTGTTTTTTATACATCTATATTTACTCATGTATAAACTTTATTGTTAAATACAGTTTTTTAATATATACAGTTCAATTAGTTGTTTTTGTTGTAGTAGTTTTTTGCTTCAAAATACTGTTTGGTTAAAAAATATGATAAAAAATAATTTCCATACATCATTTTCAGCTTATTCAAACATTTCCGATTATGGTGTAGCCTCCCTCACATATTTAGGTACCCTCTTAGTCTTATGGTCTCATCTCATATTCGGTCTTCTTCTACGTCTCTTAATTACTCATGGGTACCATACGTGGGTAATTTTTGTGGTCCATCTGTTCTCAGCTCTTCTTGCCAGGTACCTTACCCATTGCCATTTGAGGGATTTGACTTTGTGAATGACATCTTACCTGGGTCTTTTGCCATATCCACGCTATTCTACGGTCTCTCTTGGTTATTCCCAGCATATTTCGTTCCATTGAGCATTGTGCGACCTGCAGTTTCCTTATGATGTCCGTTTTAAGTGTCCAGGTTACGCATGCATACGTCACGACTGGTAGTACACATTGGTCGAATGTTTTCTTCTTTAGATAGCATTCCTTAGATAGTATTCTAGATTTGAATATGATTGAGTTTCTTTCATAAGTACTCCATGCTAACTTAATTCTTCTGTTGATTTCTGGTGTGGTAGAGATCTCGAGCTGTGTATTAGTCATCCCAAATACACTCACCGGCAAAAAAAAACGGCCACTAAAAACTAGTCCCAATTTCAAAGTTGGATTTCTTGCGAACCATTTACTAGATTTTGATGATTTTGTTTTTTAATTGTAAATTAATCCTTTCTTAACGGATGCTACGTCAGCAATTTTTATTCCGAATTTATTTTAAGCATATACAGGGCACAACAATAAGACGAAGCGTTTTGCCTAAATTTTAACACCCTGTAGGGTGCAGCAGCTGTAGTAGCTATTGCTAAATCGAATCACATTGTAGCCTAATCTTTTGTAAGCATTTTGTTTTTTTTTAATCACGACATTATCTCTGTTTGTATTGGAGATGCGCTGCTTTAAAACAAACGCCTCGAAAAAGCTTTAAAAACAAATCAAACATCAGAACGTATGTAAGTTTAACCTGAAAACTAACTAAAACATGAAAATTAAAAAAAAAGGTAAAAAATTTTTAAGGGACTAATATCTAGTATCCACTCACCTGGTGAAATTTCTCGTTTCCATATACTGATTCCAGGCACCCTGGACTGTTGTTCGAAATATACTCAGGGTATCGGAGACATAACGTTAACTTCGGCCATCGTCAATTAAAGCCACAATACGAGCAACATCCGTTACAGCATTTTTTAATTTGACAACCGCTTTTTTCATATTGCAAATACTCATAAATCTGTTTTCGCCTATGTCGCCTTGATTATTTACACATAAAACTTTCTGCCTGTGAAGCATTTTTCTGAGACGTTCATTTTAAAACAGCATATCTCCAATACAAAAAGAGATAATGTGGTGATTTCAAATGTGGTGAAAAAATCAAAATCCTCACAAAAGATGAGGCTACAATGTGATTTAATTTAGCAATAGCTACTACCGCTGCTGCACCCTACAGGGTGTTACAAAGTTCGGGCAAAAAACTTCGTCTTATTGTTGTGCCCTGTATATGCTCAAAATAAATTCGGAATAAAAATTTCTGACGTAGCATCCGTTAAAAAGGAATTAATTTACATTTAAAAAAAAATCATCAAAATCTAATGAGTTATTCGCTAGAAATCCAACTTTGAAATTGGGTCTAGTTTTTAGTGGCCGGTTTTTTGTGCCGGTGAGTTTATATATATTCTTCTACTATTTCCAGTCTTATTTATTAGAATGTCTTTTCTTTCCACTAATTCGTTGGCTTTATTTAGTTCATTAATTTATGCTTGTAGTTCTTCAGGACTATTGGCAATTAAGAGTATGTCATCAGCGAATCTTAGATGGTTGAGATATTTATTCTCCATCTATTTTTAATCCTTTGTTGGTCCAGTCCAGTTGCCGGAAGATTTCTTCTAATATTGCCGTAAACAGCTTTGGGATATCGCGTCTCCCTGTCGTACTCCTTTGCCAATGGGAAACTCTGGGGCTGTTTTATATATTTTATATAAACATTACTCTTGCTTTTTTTAATTACTTTCTTTAGAAGTATCTTAGTCGCTTTTTACAAATGCCGTAAAAATAAATACTTATCGGTTTGTTCAGATTATGGTTCAGAAATAGTGCTAGTAATCATATTTTAAGGTGTAAAGCTTCATTTTAAAACTGCGCAGTGTCACCATGTCACTGGCTACACGCTGTGTGTCTATTACAGCTATAGCAAAATGAGTAACTAGTTAAAGATCCAACTCTAGATGCAGCATATTTTGGTAAATGCCTACTTGGGGGCGGTTTAAAATTTTGATACAAAATCGGGCAATACCGCATAGAAGAAACGTATCAACCCAACTTTTATCTCTTTTTAATACATTTGATTTTTCATTAAGTTGTCTCAATCACTGTCTTACACGTTAAAATCCAGGCCACGCTTCTATGGTGACCAACTCTGTATATGGTAAAAATATACTCATTGCTTTTAAATAATTTAAATATACAATCTCTTGTTTGTTACTATTAAGATTCTGGTCAACTATTTCTATTCTCGTCAATAATATCTTTTAATCTCAACAGTTTGTTTACGCACCTACTAAGATTAGTTAAGTTAGTAAGATTAGTAAAGTGTTAAGATCATTAGATACAGGGTAGCAATAAACCAAGTATATTCCATAGTTACGAGAAGGAAACAAGTGTAAAAAAAATATATCAGTTTGTGAAATATTCCAATATTTCATTGCAGGCTAAGAATGGTACGTCTATAGATATTAGGAAACCATCAACTACGCCTACAGAAAGACTGAGCCAACTTGCCAAATCCGGAGAGGCTGGAAAGATGTCTGTTCCTAATCCTGGAAGAGTGGCGGTTGAAAGAAGTAAGTTATATAGTAATAAGTATAGTTCTTCTCGCGTAACTTTACCCAATATGGTGAAACATGATCTAATAGTTTTATTAAAATAGGTCGAGGAATAGTAAACTTGGCAAATCAGTAAAAACAGGGCCGTGCTAAACTCAGATTAATAAAAGAATATGAAATTTTATTTTTTTTTTAATTTTATTATATCAACAATAATAATTGTTGATATAACTTTATAAGTAACTATGAATTATTTATAGTTACTTTGTTCCTTTAAATGCTGCTAAAGTAAATTTACTTAATAGAAGTGAGATAGCAGAAAAGTTAACTGCGTTTAAAGTAGGTTAGACACTTATAAAGTCTAAAAAATGTCTATACCTATGTGGCGGATTCATCTCTCTAAAAAAATCCTTTATGGGTATTTCGCCACTGCACTGCAAGAAAATACTGCTTGTCAGAAGTTATGTTTACGGTTATACAAATTTGCCTAACAAAGAAAAAATGGACATTGGACAAAAGATATTGCATTTTTTTTTTCTTTGTTAGGCAAATTTGTATAACTGTAAACATAACTTCTGACAAGCAGTATTTTCTTGCAGTGCAGTAACGAAATACCCATAAAGGATTTTTTGGAGAGATTTATAAAGTCTGTAGATACATAGACATGCATTAAAATTAGACTAACCATAACCACTAATTTGATTTAACCCAACATATACAAACTGTCCAGGTGACTTTTTTTTGGAACTTTGTGAGTCTTCCATTTTCATATGCCACGCTTAAAGCTTGATTTTCATGCATCCGTTGATACGCTGGTCCAACGGCTCTCTGATTGGTCATAGCGTTTTCGCGCCACTTTTCATCCGTATTTTTTTTACTCCAGCCCGTCAACGGAGAAAGATCTTACGATAACGGACGTCTTGACACATTTTTGGACAAATTTAATCTAACCTTAATTAAAATATAATAGTACAAGAGCTAGCAACGTTGGGAAAACGAGAATTTTAAGAAAGCTGGTTCTTTAATATATCTTTTGCTATGCTCTCCTGTGTTCTCTTGACCGAAGTGCGGGCCGTCTGGCTGCCGGTAGACTACTCGGTTCACTACTGGTCATCACATATGTACAGGGTATCCCATTTTCGTGTGGTTTATGGGATTTCTCGTTTATGAGTAGAGATCATTGGTGGGATTTTCCCATTACTTTGCTACTTTTTTATGAAACTAATTATGCTACACATATGTTTGTCCTAACCTCCTTAGTTCCTAAAATACAGAGGCCCGATTCTGTAACCATTTCTCCTGTCTAGTGACTCATCGATCGTATATAATAGCCTTTTTTATATATGGATTTTTAAAGTAGCTCAACCTAAGACGTTTATGGATGTAAAGCACCAGATGGCGGGGCGTATTTCACGGTCTTTTACTACAGAAAAATATTTTTTGTTATCGAAGTTCTGTTTCTTCTAGTTTTAAAAAATGTTCTTATTTCTTTGTAGTGGTTGTAGTGTAAAATTAGATTAATTTTATTAAGTTTAATTATAATGTTTAGTGTAGAATACCACAAATAGCTTAGTAGTGTTTTTATAGTTTATTATTTTGTAGTTAAGTAGTAGGTGAAGGGATAATTTGGTTATTTTTTCTTTTTGTTTGATTAATTAGTAAGTTTGATAATTTTTTCAGTGTAGAATACAAGAAGTAATTGTGTAGTGTTTTTATAAGAGATTATATTAGTTTATTTTCTAGATGAGTAGTAGGTGAAGGTATTTGGGTATTTTTTCTTTTTGTTTTTCTGCTAATTGTAGTAATTCTATTAAGTATTGTGATTTGTGATAGATACACTATATCTTCCTTCAACTTCGTTTAAAAGTGCATTATCATACAATTTTGGTTTTCTGGTAGTAGAATATACGAAAACAAATCTGATCAAATTTATTTTAAATTAAATTAATCGAGTCTTATTAATCAAATTAATCTAGTCAAATAATAATAATAGTTACTTTCTAAATACTACACAGGGTGAGTTTCCTACGATGTTCTCTATGGGTATCTCGGAAACTACTGGAGACTGGAGATAGAGAGTCGGTTAAATGGGGAAAGAATTGCAGTTTTGTGGGGTCATAAATATGCGCCTTTCGGATTTTTTCGGAGAAGTTCAAGGCTTACTAGATATTTCGAAAAAAACAAGTTTTGGCTATTTTAAAACTTTTGTCTCTAATTCCATTATAATCTACCGTATGATCGAATAAAAACGGCGTCAACGATGTCTATGAAATGTTTATATGTAAAATTATATGGGAAATATCATCGATCGTCATTTCATAGCCATCGCTGACGCCGTTTTTATTCGATCATACGGTATTTTAGACAAAAAGTTTCCCATAAAAGTTGTAGATAATCACATACCTAATGAGTTTGTGTTTTCTGTTTTTTTTTCTAAAGCCTGTCATTTTTGACATATATGACACAAACACGTTAAATGTTGACAAAAAACGTTATGTTTTTTTTTTAAATGGAAACCATAGTGGGCCATGACTTCATAAAAAGCGCCATTTTTTAAGCTTTTCAGCGATATAGGTAGGTATAATATGTTTTTTCGAAAAATTACAAGTTATAGCCAATTCTTTTCTTTCTTGGCTAATTTCCATACCAATAATACCATACCAATTAGCTGGCATCAAGAATGTAAAAAGTTTTATGTTTCCAAAAAAAAAATATCGTAAAATTCGTAAAGCACTTAATTTAGAATAAAATAATCTAAGAATGAAATGATTCTTTTATAAACCTGCATTAAATCAAATTAAAATAGGTATGTAACTTTTTTTAAATATTAATTAATAACAATTAGCATTATCATAAATTATTATAAATAATGTACCAACATATCGAAATAATAATTTCTTTGTTAATACGGTTTAGAATTCTTAAAATAACAGGCAAAAATAATCCACAATTTACAATAAAATAAAAGTTTCGTTTAAATTTCTTAATCAGCTGATCACTATTAAAGTTCGCAGAAACCCTGGGCTATATTATTACATTACTCTGAGGAAAATAACGAAAATAATCGATATTTTTGACTCCGCCCCGAAAGGTTCACGATTTGTCCTCCAGTTGGCAGCACATTTTGTCTAGTCGGTTGAACAATTTTAAGAATATATAAACAAGGATAATAGCATAGGCTAGACAGGAAATTTCTTGCTACGGAGCTTACAAAATCCTACTGCAGGGCGAATTTGTGATGCGCAGTAGTGAACAGATGTTGAATACAGATATGATGCGCAGTAGTGAACGGGACGTCTCCCGACAGCCAGACGGACCGCACTCTGTTCAGGAGAGCATAACAAAAGATATATTAAAGAACCAGCTTTCTTAAAATTTTCTCTCAAAAACGTTGCTACCTCTTATAGTAGACTATAAGTAAAACAGCGAAATCGTTATGGAAATGAAAATATAAAATGTCACCAATAACAAGCAAATCGTATATCCGATGAACGGAGGCATGAAAATGCAATAAATTTAAAAACTACGTAATTGTCTAACCAATCGAAGTCTTTAAATTCAACCAATAAAATTAATATCGAAAGATCATCGTATCGTCGTACAACGGTTGCATGAAAATCGAGCTTTATTATGCCGTGCTTGAGTAAAATTTTCATAAGCTGCAGCATAAGCTCTCCTAGTACTATAAAATATTTGGTTTTTGTTGTTGGCATTTTTTAATTTTATTTTTTATATCATATGATTATTATTATACTTACGTTTACTTTTATTTCCAGGTAATAATCATAGTCATAGTTCCCACTTAAAACCGAAGAAGGCTCCGCTCATGGCCAAAACGTTATCCTTTTTGAAAGGTACTCGCTTTGGACGTAGATAGTTCAGAACTGTTAGTTTAGTACCAATTGAATGAATTCCTCTATGACAACTTGCTTGTATATGGTCTTAATTTTATTTTTCTTAACTTATTTTAATGTTAAAGTTTCCCATATTTTATTTACAACTTAATATAAACTGGAGTTTTTATCACGCACAACCAATATTAAGTTATTTTAGTACTGGAATTACAGATATACCGGGCGTCTCAGTACCACTGTCGCCTCCAATGAAATACCTTAGTTTATTAGTTTCGTAACAATATGCAAAACTCTTAAAAAATACAGAGTTGTCAAATGAATTTGTAGACATACTTTGATTTTTTATGAAATTTTAGTTTCGGAGATATAGCAAAAATCGGAACTTTTTTAAAAAAAAATAATTTTTACTAAGCAACCATTGAAGACACTGGTTTTCTACTAAGTAAAACTAATACTACTAGGTAAAATAGCTTCAGTTAAACTGAATGTTGTACTTGTCTAGTACTACTTACACTTAAGATTTTTAATATAAATTAATATAATACATCGGCGATGCAACAGACTATATTTGTTGCCTTCAAAAAATCAGACTTATAAGTTTGTATAAAAATGAGGTATTCCATTGGTACAGGGACAGCGAGACACCCTGTATACATCGTGTCTTTGTAATAGTACAAATCTTTTTATGTGTAGATTTTATTTTGTGTCGTTTTTATCTTTATATTGCGGTTATTTTATTTTGATGGTTTAAATTTGTAGTTCTCATGTCCTCTTTGTAAGTAAATTTTTGAATCAATTTTATGGGAATATTTATTTTAAATTGTTACTTTTATGACTATTGTACATATATTTGTAAATAATAAGAATATTTTATTAGAAGTGTTATTTTATTATGACATCTACCCCTAAGATATGCAAGACCTTGTCGTTGGTGGGGAGGCTCCTAGTCAGTTGCTAGGAATCCCAATTGACACTTTGGCTGTAGTGTCGTGGCCAGGGACAAAAATGCAATAATATACAGGGTGTTCCGTTTTAAAACTCACCGTGCGTCGCACAGAGGGGCCTAGACCCATAAATGTTACCGGAAAGTCGAAAATTGAAATATGAGATTTAAGCAAAAAAAATACTCGTAAACTATGCAAAATTCTTCTCTTTATTTGATCATGCCAGCCATGGATCAGCATCTCCAGTAGGACACCTGCTGCAGCTTGTCAAAGTTGACAATAATCCAAACGTAATAATTAATATTTTTTAATGAAAATATTGCTCAATTTCAAAGTGGTATTTCTTTATAACGAAATATAATAAAATTAAAATTTAAATGGCTAACACTAACTCCGGTAAGTGTAGATTATTTCTATAGAAAATGTTTTTGGATACGTTTTTAGCTTGAGCGAAATAATTAGGTTACAGTTAAAAGTGAACAAATGTTGCAAAACAATTTAAAGTTGTTGATTTATCGGTCCAAAAAGTTAATGATACCTTTGTATTCCCCAAGCACTTTAATTAATTCTTAATATACAAGCTCTTACCTTTAATTTGGTACTAAAACTTACTGCTGTTTTGTGCTGATTAACTAGAAAATTATAAATTTGAAATTTGAATACATAGAAATAGGACCCAGCATAACATATTATTTTGCCATATAATTTTTACATATCATTTTTAGGGTTCCCTGCCCAAAGGGTATAAAAACGGGAACCCTATTACTAAGACTTCGCTGTCCGTCCGTCTGTCACAAAGGACCCAGCATAACATATTATTTTGCCATATAATTTTTACATATCATTTTTAGGGTTCCCTACCCAAAGGGTATAAAAACGGGAGCCCTATTACTAAGACTTCGCTGTCCGTCCGTCTGTCACAAAGGTCTATCTTATGAACCGTTATAGCTAGACAGTTGAAATTTTTACAGGTAATGTATCTATGTTGCCGCTATAAGAACAAATACTAAAAACAGAATTAAATAAATGTTTATAAATAAAAAAGTACTTCCACTAAACATTATCTTTTAAGTAAGAATTTTACATAGGATCTTTCAAGTCCTCGGTGGCCGCGTGGTTTAAAGCGTTAGGACTTTACGCTGCTATGACGTTGGAGCCGTAGGTTCGAATCCTAGTCATGGAAACTTTTTTAATCTTTTTTTTTAATTTTTACATATTTTTACATATTTATTTTTACTTTTTACATATTTATTATTGATTAATACAATTTTTAGTAATGTGTTTCTTAATTTTTTTTTTAAATTAGTTATACGCGCATTCAAAATTTCAGTTAAATCGGAAAAAAAGTTTATAATAATATAGTGTCTAATGTATAGATAATGAATGGTACGGAATCCTTCGTGCGCGAGTCCTACTCGCACTTGACCAATTTTTTTTTTTTTTAGTTTTAACTATTGAAATAAGCCACAGTGATTTGTGGAAAAAAACCAAAGAATGCTCATCATCCAAAATAGATCGACAATGCCAGTTTTTAAAGGAACACATAAAACAAATTACAAATTGCCCAGCAGACAGATTTCCCAATATTGCTATGAGAATATCAAAATTTATGTTCTCCTACAGACAAAAATGGCAGAAGTCAGGTAGAAATGAAAAAATGTTCATTCGAACAAACAGGGATTGGCTTGATATCAAAATGGTTTTTCCGAAATTTGTTATTCCAAAAATAGGACGTCCGAAAACAAGTTTTCAAGAATGCTCTGAAAGTACCAAGCGTCAAAAAACTACAAATATACGCAATGAAAACACAGTTGAAGCAATATGCTATGCTGCCCAAATGGAGCTTAGAAAAGCCGGACATCTAGAAGCATCTAAGTTAATAAGAGAAATATCGTCAAATCCGACTATGGCATCACAGTACCTAAACGCCTTGAAAAAAACAAAGGAAAATCACATCATCCAATTGTCACCAAATGAGGCACTTTCGGTTCTTGTAGAAGCGGGCTTGTCAAGAAGTCAATATAATCTTATTAGAGAAAAAGATAAACTTAAATTTCCTTCGTACAAAGTAGTACAAAAAGCGAAAAATTCATGCTATCCAAATACCATTAATGTAACATCCACTTCCGCAGAAGTTTCACTTGAATCTCTACTAAAGCACACAACGGAAAGAATTATTACTCTTCAAGAAGACGTCTTAGATAGGTTTGGTCCAGAAGAACTTAAAAATGCGTTTCTTGTATGTAAATGGGGGTTTGATGGCACTTCTGGCCAACAAAATTACAAACTAAAATTTGATAACCTTGAGGACTCTGATTCGAGTGCTTTCGTTACCTGGCTGGTTCCACTTAAACTGGTTCTTGGAAATCCTGAATCGGAAGACCCTCACAAAATAATTTGGCAAAATCTATCTCCATCATCTCCGCGCTACTGCCGACCAATCAGGATTCAGTTTGTGCGCGAATCAACAGAAGTGTGCAAACAAGAACAGAGCCGTATAGAAACTGAATTAAAAAATATCGATGGGTTGACTTTTGAAATCCGAGAATTTGTTTTATATGTGCGATTCATCTTGTTGTTAGCTATGATTGATGGAAAGGTGAGAAATGCGTTAACCAACAACAAAAGCACTCAAAGGTGTTACATTTGCCAATATACCCAAAAAGACTTTAATGATTTAAACTTGATACTTGCAAAGAAATGTGACTCAACTTTATATAATTTTTCACTTCCAGTTTTACACGCTCGTATTCGCTGTTTTGAGTTTTTTTTGAGTCTTGCGTATAAATTACCGGTAAAAGTTTGGAGATCCAGAAGTCAGGACGAAAAATTACTAATTGCCGAAAATAAGAAAAGGATTCAACAGGAATTCAAGTCACATCTTGGTTTAATCATAGACCAACCAAAACAAGGCTATGGCAGTAGTAATGACGGAAACACGGCTAGATGTTTCTTCGAAAATGCGGAAATTACCTGCAAGATCACACGAATTGATATCGATGTAATAAAAAGATTCAGTGTTATTTTGGAGGTGATTTCTAGCTACCATAGTATCAATATTGAAAACTTCAGAAATTATGCTCTAGAAACAGCAAGGCTCTTAACAGAAAAATTTTCATGGTACTGCATGACACCTACAGTACACTTAATTTTATTACATGGAGCGGATATAATTAAGAGTGGCCTTGTTCCGGTTGGTCAGTTATCAGAAGAAGCGGCCGAAAGCCGAAATAAAGACCTAAAACAATATCGATCAAAGTTCGCGAGAAAAACATCCCGAAAAGCAAATAACGAAGATGTTTTGAAAAGACTGCTCTTATCATCAGACCCACTGATTACTGGATTGAGGAAACCGCCTAAATTATCAAAGAAACATTTTTCTAACGAAGCTTTGTCCATGCTGTTACCCCCAGATTTTAGTTATAACGCACTAAATAAAGAAACTGATTCCGATTCTGACAATAATTAGCACAGTTTTTTGGCTGGATAAAGTATGTATGTATGTCTGTTAGTCTATCTACTGTATGGGCAGGTTTCTATTTGCTTTGTAAGTTTTATTTGGGCACATATTATCAAGGAATCGCACATGAAAACAATATCTCAGATTTCAAAAGACTCGTTAGGTTAGGATATTATTTTTTAATTTAAGGTACTTTTTAATATCAGACGTTAAGTTTCGCCCTAGAAACATTGAAGAAGATTTTTACATGTTTATTATTATTTAGTTTGCAATAGATTACTTTATACGTTACTTTTCACTTTACTAATAAGCTTGGGTTAGGGCTTTAAGGACTTTAAAACGTTTAAAAGTTAAATAAATTTATTATTTGCTTGTATAAAATGCATTAGCTTATGACATACCTCGGCTGATGTCTCGTGCTATATTAAAATCTTTTAAATCTTTTGACAAAATAATATTTTACGACTTAAGAAAGCATTTAGAAGCAGTTTTATTAGATATGAAATAAAATTAGATTTTTCGGTATCTTTTCGGGCTCGCTGCCCCACTGTGCGTCGGCCACTTACCCCAGTGCAGTTATGACATTCACCATGTTGAAATCAAAAATTTTTAGAAAGCTGCGACCATTGAAAATAGTTAGCCTTAGTAACCCTTATTAACATACTAAAAGTCCCCATTTGTCCGATGTGTGCGTCATCAAAAAAAAATCGGCCGCCATCTTTTGGTATTTTTTGGGAAAAAATGTAAATAACTCGAAAACGGTTTGTTATAGCGAAAAACTTCAAGAGGTAAAAATTAAAGAGAATAAAAAACTCTATCAGAATCAATAAAGAATAGTTTATTATCCTAACGCAGTGACGTACAATTTTTTTTTGAAAATAGAGCAATTTTTAAAAGGAATCACCGAAATGCAAATTACTAATTTTTTAAGCTTGTTAACAAATAACATGGATATTTAGTATCAATTCAACTGAAATACAATCCTTGTGACATTTTC